AAAATATAAAGATATCACTTCTTCTAAGTGTAGACTCGGGACTTTGTCTATCGGACTCCGTTATGGGCGTTGGCCATCAGGAGGAAACGTATGTGGAGTCTGGACACTTTCAAATCGGTCGGAGAACTCCTCGAATTCTGACTAATTTCTCCTTTTATTTCAAAATTTCGTCCAATCATCGTCCATTAACTCTTTCGTGAGAACGGATGAGAGGGGGATGAATGAGGGGTAACCATTTCCCATCTGAGCGAGATTTTTAACTAGATACGGGAAAAACAGCGGATGTTCTCCTCGATGAAAGGAAATAACATTTGTCATAAATTTTTCCCACGTCTAAAACACTAGTTTTTTCACACAAAATGAAATAATATTTTGTCGATGATTTAAAATTATTAATAAAAATTCACAAATTAGACCCAGGGCCTTTCGGATCTCACAATATTATTATATGAAAACTATAATTACAATATAATTGCACATTTATAATATATTATATTTTATACTTACCTTCCTATATATAACACTGCAGAAAGCTATCTTTAATTTCATACCATATAAATCTGCCATGTAGAAAGTTGTGTTATATAACAACAGAGAAATCGCAGTAAAGCTAAAAAATCCTGCAAGTGTTACATTAATGTTGTATAGATTAAATTTTTGTCTGTTGTCCAAACAATGTATTGTTTGTCCCAAAAAGTATACTTGGCCTGCAACTAACACTGTTTCCTAAAAATAAATATAAACATCATTTTTTTAAATTGTACTAACGCGTGCAATTTGTATTTCAAATCAGTTATCACAGTACCTGAAAGAGTACAAGTAAAAATATTATCAAGTATTTCCATCCAAGAAATCTCAATACAGCTCTTAGTATGCTTGGATTTCTCTTCTGAAATTCCTTGTTCCACTCTCTGAAAACATGCAATAAGAATAAAAACTTGAAAACAGTATCTTAATACTTTTCTTAATACTTGATTTTTTTATTAAGACTTAATGTAGATTTTTGTTATATATGGTGCTTTTTCATACTGTCAATTTATTGTGAAAATACAATAATATTTTGTAAATTGAGTTTGTATTATCAAGTAATGTTTCATCATGCCCTTAGTTGTCCTTGTAATATCAAGTAATGTTTGATCATGCCCTTAGTTGTCCTTGTAATATCAAGTAATGTTTGATCATGCCCTTGTAATATCAAGTAATGTTTGATCATGCCCTTGTAATATCAAGGTAATGTTTGATCGTGCCCTTGTAATATCAAGTAATGTNAAGTAATGTTTGATCATGCCCTTAGTTGTCCTTGTAATATCAAGTAATGTTTGATCATGCCCTTGTAATATCAAGTAATGTTTGATCATGCCCTTGTAATATCAAGGTAATGTTTGATCGTGCCCTTGTAATATCAAGTAATGTTTGATCACGCCCTTAAGATCAAACCTGTTGAGTTTGTAGTATCAAGTAATGTTTGATCATGCCGGTGCGAAAATCTCTGAGCTGCAATTAAAACAAAACTAAGATGCAGCTGTGCACAAAATCACACGTGACAAGATGCATGGTATCTTAACACAATGACATTCCTGTACTGTATCATTTTCAGAGTAACCAAATAACAATCGTAATCAAAATCAAAAGTATACAGCAGCATGAGTATTAAGGAATTCAAGAAATGTCTGCATCGATAAGATGTTTAATAACTTGTTTAATTTCTAATTCACACTATAGAAACCAGGATTTTTGCTTTTCAATAATCTGCTACCAGTTTATTTGTGTACAGGAACAGATTAATAAAAATTTACTGTATTTTAAAATTTTGAAAATTGTAAGAAATGAACTTACTTCTGAAGTTGGTCCCCAAGATATTCCGAAGTATGATATTTTGAAGTTTCATATAAATCTTCTTCTTTTAATTCTCGCTTTCTTCCCTTGTTTATTATTGAGAAAATCCAACTGTAAAATAAATTATTAATTGATTATTGTTGTTTACTATAATATTCTTGTACTGATGGTTTTAAAATTGCCATCATTATACTCACAAGACAAACAATGAACAATATGTGAGATATGCCGACCAATTATTACTTATTCGGCAACAGGTTGGACGAGATAAGTATAGTTAAACGAATCCTAATCTGTGAATTGTAACTAAAGGTTAAATAGGAAGGTCTAAAATTATCGAGTGGGGGTGCATACGGGTAAGTCGAGAAGGTGTCTGTTTCCTGAGTGAGAGACAGAGAAACAGGTTTAACAGAAATAGGTTATAAGTGAAAAAGATATAGCCTGCACCATTAGGCATAGCCTTAGTGAAAAAAAATCAGAAAGAGAAATATGGGGTGAGAATAGGGATAAGAGTGGTAAGAGGGAGAAAAAGATGGTAGATAGTGAAAAAGAAAGTAGTTGGGAGTGAGTCTTCGTAAGCGTTATGCCAAAACCAAAATACTGTAAAGAGAATATATTATTCACCGAAATTCCCGTGCGAGGGAAATAGCAGTATGATAAACCATGAGGCACGGTAAAAGTAAAATTTGGAGAGACATCACTATTGTGTTGATACAGAGGATAACGTACAGCACCCAGGAAATGCAGAACCGGAAGGAAGAACTCAGATTGTGTTGTTCTGCTGAGTCTGATGATACTTGAAATTGTCCAGATGTTTAATAAAGTCTAGTAAGTATTTTCAGTACCTGTTGTTTTCTAGCAGGATGGAAGGTTGGCAGGGCCAAGGAAGATTGTCTTTGAGAATAATGATCACTTGTTGTGGGTTTTTTGTCATATTTCTGGCAGTAAAAAAGCAGATGTAAGGAGGTTTCATTATCCTCGAGACAGTGTGTACCCTTGCTGTCATCTACTCTCAGGAACATCTCATATAGGCCCTGGAGTTTCTGTGCCCCGTTAGCAACTGGTGTAGGTAGAGATGGGTGCAAGACACCCATCATTAGAAGAGGTGACTTTTGGAAGGAATTTGTATTGATCCTATCAGTGTCTTTAGAATCCCATTCGTCCTGCCACTTTCTGGCAGTTTGCTGATTTAACTTATTAGAGATCTAGGAGGTGGTGATAAGAGAGTAAGTGATAAGGCAGTTCTTTCAGGTTTAGTTTGTGCCAATTGATCAGCTTTGTTATTCCAGTTGTTATTGGAGTGGCCATTGATCCAATAGAAGTTAATGTGCATCTCCTGTTGCAGGCTAATAAGGAGGATAATTGACTCATTATTAATAGTGAAGTTAACGTTCCTGTTCCAGATCTGGTGAAGGGCCAGCCTACTGTCAGGGAGGATGTTGATGCTTCGGTTCTTTACAGTGCTGTGCTGTGAGTCCAAGAACAGCAGAACACTATAAATTGCATAAGCCTCAACTTGGTTGTTGGTACTGTACAATGATTTGCTAGCCTAAAGTATTTATGCTTGAATAACTGTTTCAGTTTTCAAACTGATTTTGTTAACAGAATCTGACTCGGTAAAATTTGTTTTAGACAAAGATTATAAAAACGTAAAACTAAATTTTAAAGAGGGTTTCGAGTTGTATATGTCGAAAGTTAATGCTCATAAATTACTTTATTATTTAAATTTACCAAACACAGATATTACATTTAAACAACAGAGTTCGAGTTTAATATTGCGAGGAGCGAGTAAGGAATATCTATCAAATGCTAGATTTTTCAAAGATTCAGTTCATAACTTTAGTGGAAAGAAATAAAAAAGTTGTTGAGGAAATCGATGTAGAGGAAAAAATTTTTATTCCAATCGGGTTATATTCCTCTGTTGAAAAATTTCTTGGAATTTTTAAATATATTAAATTAGCATTACTACCTAATAACAAAATCGTTTTAAAAGTTCATAAAAATATAACGATTGAATTCGGAAACGAATTAAAAGATTTGTTAAAATTTGAAACATGCAAATTTTCCGAGGGTGAATATGTGAGCGACTATACCATCGAATTAGAGTTGACCCCCTATAACCCTGTTGATAAGTCTGTTTTATATGAATTCCATGCTGTACGAGTCACTTAGATTTTACAAATACGTGGGCCGTTCACAGCCCAGCACACGCATTTGTAAAATATAAGTGACTCGTACAACATGGAATTCATATAAAACGAAATTATCAACAGTGTTATGGGGGAGTCGACTTGTATTTATATCTAAATTAGAAGATGTTAACAAAGCAAGAATTGGCATTCACTGGGCATAGGGTATGTACTGAATCTAATATAACAAAGATAATTATATTAAACTTGCTTATTTATTAAGCGCGTTAAATAATCTATTAATTAAAAATACATTTAGAGAAGTCTACGGTTTTTACAGGTTTATCGAACAAACGAATACAAATGGACCTTAGACTACGGCGATGTTGATGATGGAAGGTGGAAAACTCCTGATATCACTCATAGGTACGACCAGGAGGGGAAAAGAAATGAAGGAAGAGGGAGAGATTGAAGGATAGGGAATGAAAATGGGGGCAGGAAGAGAGAGGAAGAAGTGGGATCTCACAGCGCCTGCATCACATTTATTTACAAATAAACCAGAGAAAAAAATAATATATAAAGGAACAAACCAAAGTTAGTATATACAGATATAATAGTTAGTATATACAGATATATGCAGATACAAGGTCTGTTCAAAAAGTATTGGACCTTTTTTTTCCGCGTAAACCAATGATGCGCGACAGGCCTCCTTTGGTGGAGTTGTGTAGGGGACAGTCATCAGTGTTGCCGTTCCTAGTACATTTGTACTTTTCTGGTACATTTTGCCCTTTCCAGTAAATTGAAAGTACATTTAGTTTTTTAGTACATTTTCAGTACATTATAATATTTCAAGTACCATTTACAATACAAATTAATATTTCACGCCTTAACGAAAAAATGAGAAAAAATTAGTTTAATAAAGTCTCACTAGTGTCACTACTTGCTAATTTAAATTATCCAATCACAACATACAATTTGTGTGTGTCCATCGAAGTCAGCAACATAGATAGTTGCACGTGTAAACGGTCTTGACTCAGTGGTCTTTGATACTTTCAGTTGTCTGCACATTCTCATCAGGACCTTGACAAAATTTTTCATGCCACGTCGTCCAAACAATTCAACTCTGTCAAACAAAAATAATGGACAGGTAAGGAAATCAATGATTTTAAACTTCTGTCGTCAAAATATCCGTTAAGTCAGAAACAAATTATTACAGAAAATAGTTTTGAAATTGTACGAGTATAAATAATATAAATACTTTTATATTATTTTCTACCACTATAATTTAATTATTAAATTATGAACTTCAATTTTAGTAATCGTAGTAAAAGAAATAAGGGTTAATGTTACGTATGGTTCCAAAATGGCCGCGCTTCCGACTGTT